CACCACCAAACCTAAACCAACTTCACAAATCGAAAATACCGCAAAATGCCGAAAACACCAAAACACGTCCAAACACGGAAAAGTTAACAACCCTTCTAATACACACAATATGAACATTGCATATACCTGGCCATGAAGCTATCACAATGAACTAAACAACCAAATTAAATTTCAACATCGAACTGACAATACCATGATGCAATCAACCAATACGCATACACCTTCCCGATAAAACACAAATATGAGAAAATCAAATATTTGAAATACGGGCCATCAAACCCTACATTCAAGTTAATATCTCAACAACAAGATATGCCACGAACATAATGCACACACCAACGGAAAGCTAAAACATTAAACAAACCACCTGAACCATCAAAAGACAATTTACCTACTATAGACCCGTGCTAGTCACCACCAAACTCAAACCAACTCAACAAATCGAAAATACCGCAAAATGACGAAAACACCAAAACGCGACTAAACACGAAAAAATCAACAACTCTTCTAATACACACAATATGAACATAACATATACCTGACTATGAAGCTGAAACAATGAACAAAACAACCAGATTCAATTTCAACATTGAACCGACCATACCCCGATGCAATTAACCAATACACATACACCCTCCCGATAAAACACAAATAAGGGAAAATCAAAATATTTGAAATACGGGCCATTAAACCTTACATTCAAGTTAATATCTCAACAACAAGATATGCCACAAACACAATGCACACACCAACTGATAACTAAAACATTAAACAAGCCACCTGAACCAGCAGAAAAACGATTCACCGACCATAGACCTAACCTAGACACCAACAAACTCAAACCAACTCAACAAATCGAAAATACCGCAAAATTAAAACAAAAAGTACAACCAAACACGAACAAATTAATGCCTCCTCGAAAACACAAAATATCAACACAAGACACATGACAATGAAGCGCAAATAATGAACATAACAACCAAACCAAATTCCAGCACTGAACTGACCATACCCTAATACAATTAACCAATACACACACGTGTTCGATTAAAACAGAATACAAGAAAATCGAAATATTTAAAATACGGACCACTAAACGGTACATTTAAGTTAATATCTCAACAACAAGATATGCTAGCAACATATCACATATACTGAAAGCTGAAACACTAAACAAACCACCTGAACCACCAAAATGCAATTTACCCACCCTCAACCTACCACAGACATCGCCAAACGCACACCAACTCAACAAATTGAAAACACCACAAAATGCCACAAAAACAACCGAACACGAACAAGCCAACAACCCTTTAAATACACACAATATCAACATATAACATACATGACCATATGACTTAACCACATACCAAACCAAACCAAATTTATCAATAAACTGACCACGCCTTTATGCAATAAACCAATACGCATAAACAACCACCCCCCTCCCGCCAAAAATGAATACGGGAAACCTGTTAAAATACAACTGAATGATAGAAAAGAAAACAGCATTTTCATTCACAACCCAATCACATAGAACACTCTTTCGGCCGCAGAGGAAGAACAATCATGGGATACCCCCATGAGTTCGAAACATCTTGGGCCCTTATAATGACCAACATATAAGGGAGAAGATCCGCTACAGGATCGGGATGTCCGGCCTCTCTCTACGTGAATGAAGATAGGGAATAACACACCAATGTCATTACCCTAGGATCTACCAAATATACACGACCCGTCACATGAGTACTGACGGTGGTTAGGGGAAGCTTAGCTACTAGACCTTGTCTCCCAGGTCCCCCGAACGAGACCTCTCACCATTAATACAGATTGCATGACATATGCGTATTTACTACAGGTGATGTCTCAGGACATTGTCTAAGTCACCACTCCCAAAAACCAAATCTTCAGCATGGCCTCCGTACCAATATTCTTAACTCCACTTCTTAACAGATGCATGCATCAAGGGGTAGACACCATTCAAAATACATAAACATGACCGGGTCTGTCGGGGAAGGTTTGCAAACAATGCAATTTCTACATGCAAGCTCATTTTCACATATGCACATATAATAATTAATAAAGTCTTGGGAATTTTAATTGCATAATTTTTGTAAAAATTCAAAACAATTTTTTTGCCTCACTTGTCATGATTACACCCCCCCCCGACTAAAAGTCATGTTGGCTCCGGCCCGGGGGTTCTATTGAAAACTATATCATCAACGTTTTATCATTATGCAGAAAGTCCAATATGAAATCTAAAATCAGGTAAATATGTTGCATTTATTGAAGGAATTATAATACACTGTAAACTATAATGTTTGATATGAATATGAATACATCCATACAACCATATTCTCAAAATCCATTCTTTTGAAATAAGATGTTTCAACAAAGGCAATTGAAAACTTTAATCTTTGAACCTGGGAATCTAAACTACAGTGGTGATTAACTTTCTGATTGCTAATTATGTGTATCAACTCTTTGATTGCCCCTCAGTTGGAGATTAAATCTTAAAATTTGATCAAAGGGATTATAATTTTCCCCGTTTCTCTTATCTATGTTACAATGTGTATATTCGTTATTGTGTCACCGGAATGTTTTGATAAACAAAAACAAAATGTTTTTTGGACATCAACATTAGACAAAAGTTCAATATACCATTCTAGATACATTGTATATTTGTTACATCCTTCATACCAATGTTAGAAGCTCAAACGAACGCCAGTTTTGATTATATGGTAATGTTAATATATTCAGCATGGTTTAAAACAATTGGTGGATTTGGAGGGGGGGGGTGACAAGGGGACCCGGGAGGGGACATTATCAAGGTGGTTCACGGGGCGAACTTAGGCATTGGCAAGGGGGTAGGACATACTCTGGTGAAAAACTGTCTTCTTTTTGGCTCTTGAGACACTTCTTCACAGATCTCTTCGGCAATATAAGACCCATTTGTCTGAAAATAAGGTTGCTTAAACTAATAAGGCCTAAATGTGGCTATGCAGAAGCAAAGGCTGTATTTCATAAAACAATTTCTAAACATTAACTGTAATCATGGTGATCCGCGGTCGTCAATACAGATCAAAGAAATAAACGTATTGAGAAATAATCCTTGACTTCTTTTTCTTGTTACTTCGAATTAACCACTTTAATTATGTGGACATACAATTTTTCGAAAATTACAAAAATGCTCACAATAAATTAATCTTAATATTGGCTTGATCAAATATATCTTTAAGACCCTTAGTCTTTTGAAATTTCCAAACCGTATAATACACTACCATGTTTCGCATGGGTATATTCTCATTTATATTCTAGTTTGATTTATATTACATTAAAAATGAATGGTATAATCGGACATGATACGGGTCACTATAACTATTGGGGAGAGGGTGATTAATAATTATATTAAGTAACAATGGAATAAATTGTGCTTCAAGCCCGTAGCCTGGAGGAAGGTTCGCTAAAGAAACATACAGCAAGTATTTTCCCAAGGGGGGGGGGCACTTTTCAAAAATTTCCGTGATTACATGATTCATTTTTCATACGAATCCTGCACGAATCCTGAATGCTGGATTCATTTGTAAACTACCTTGCATATGAATCCTGCTTGAATCCTGGCTACAGGATTCATTTGTAAAGTACCTTCCATATGAATCCTGCACGAATCCTGAAGGTTGGATTCATTTGTAAACTACCTTCCATATGAATCCTGCACGAATCCTGAAGGTTGGATTCATTTGTAAACTACCTTCCATATGAATCCTGGACGAATCCTGAAGATTGGATTCATTTGTAAAGTACCTTCCATATGAATCCTGCACGAATCCTGAAGGTTGGATTCATTTGTAAACTACCTTCCATATGAATCCTGCACGAATCCTGAAGGTTGGATTCATTTGTAAACTACCTTCCATATGAATCCTGCACGAATCCTGAAGGTTGGATTCATTTGTAAACTACCTTCCATATGAATCCTGCACGAATCCTGAAGGTTGGATTCATTTGTAAACTACCTTCCATATGAATCCTGCACGAATCCTGAAGGTTGGATTCATTTGTAATCTACCTTCCATATGAATCCTGCACGAATCCTGAAGGTTGGATTCATTTGTAAACTACCTTTCATATGAATCCTGCACGAATCCTGAAGGTTGGATTCATTTGTAAACTACCTTCCATATGAATCCTGCACGAATCCTGGCTACAGGATTCATTTGTAAACTACTTAAACAGCGAATCCTGTACGAATCCTGGAGGCAGGATTCATACAGGATTCATATGTGCATATGAATCCTGCTTGAATCCTGCCTTCAGGATTCGGGGATTTGATTCACTTTTTTTGCTGTGATATTTTTCAAAAGTGTCAAAACTGTGCTCTAGTTTTTATATATGTAATCAGCTTTTGATAGTACTGAAAATTAAAAAGTTATTAAAGAAAAATTGATTGAACAATTTTGTCCACTTTTTAAAATAACTTTAAAATGTTTTAAATTCACAAAATATTTATGATTGTATTTAAATTTGGTTACATTTTCAGTTAACTCAGATTTAAACCTACTTATTTTCTATTAGATAGAAAAGTTTTGAAAGTGCCAGTTGTCATGTCCGCAATTAACAATTCAGATTACTGAAAATATGCCAGAAGTAACATTTAATATTTCAAACATTCTATCAAAAGTTGAAATTAATTATATAAAATTACGTCGTTGCATTTCAAGTTGAGATGAGTTGTCTTGGGATGAGTCCTGTTACCAAACTCACTATCATACCTGCCATCATTGGCTTCGATGGTTTTGTCCCACATGATAACATGCTAGGTTATTTTCTTATTAAACTATGTTAAGCAATTTCTTTTTCAATCGCCATCCATCTGTCAGTGAGTCAGTCTATCGATAAAAGGTGGTAGTAAGTCACCCCTCGTTCAATTTAGTTTTGACATTCAATAGTAATTGCTTAAGCACAAATATTAGATTCAAAAGTTATTGTGTTAAACCTACCTAAGGGAAAACTAATACTTAGGACGCTTGTGGCAAATACATGAAACCTATGCTGTTGATGAAAATGTTCCCCGAGGATATTAGAAACTGCAACAAGCAGAATAGAATTCGCCATCCCTCCTATAATACTGTGTGTCAGGAACAACCAGTCGATTGAAGAAATGAATGAGGAACACAAGAAGCTTAAAGATTTTAGTGTGATGCCAATCATTGATCCAATTCGATATCCATTTGTTCCCAGGCTCTGGATAATTAGAAAAGACAATGGGGACAGAGTAGCTGAGGTAAACATGACGATAGATCCAATTATATCTGCAAAAATAGAAGTGTGATATACGTCGGGTGTCATCATCTCTCTTGAAATTTTTCACAGAAGATTCAACATACAATGATCTATCAATTGAGCAAACATGTTTAGTAAATTAGTATAGCAAACAATATTTAACTAAAAGGTTACGGGGCAAGTAAAATCAGCCAGAATTATCCCTATTTATAGATATTTTTCTGTTTTATAAATTCGATATGCGATGCTATTCTCATACTTGTAGAACTTAATGTGACTGTTATTCACCATTTATGAAGCAATGAAAGATGATTTGCTACATACTGTAGGTGACTAAATGTTTCTAGTTTCCTGTTGAATGTCGAATCTTTCATCATACGAATGTAAATCAAGGTGCCATGGTAGTTAACAAGAAATGACAAAACAGAAAGTGACAAAGCCATGCTGGATTTTGAATATTTTTTGAATCAAGATAACAGTCATTTTAACTAGTTCCACATAATAGTTACATGGTCAGCATTACAATGGCCATGGTCAGAATGACCCTAAACATGATGAAATAACTTTTTTCAGCCCTCTGAAAATGGGACTGGAATGAAAATACTCAAACTGAATTCTCAGTCCATTTGATATAGACCATATGTAGGCGGGGCCTAGAAAAAGTCCATTTCACTGCTTTATTTCGTCAGTAGAACGGCAAAAATAAGAAATTGGGAGACCACTGCGCAATAATATATGGAAAAGTATATTCATAATGTATATGAATGACATTTGTATATTTCAGATTTTTTAGTTTTTTGTGCAATAAGCCTGTGCCGTCTTGTAATTTGAAGAATTTCAGCCATGTTAATCTTATTGAAAATAACATGGCAGAGAAACATATATAAGAGGCCACACACTTTATAAGCCAAACTAGAAGCAATCCAAGATATACAAATGTCATTCATGTACATTATGAACATACTTTTCCATATATTATTGCACAATGGTCTCCCAATTTCTTATTTTTGCCGTTCTACTGACGAAATCAAGCAGTGAAATGGACTCTAAATCCATGATTTCGATAGCGATACTACCAGGTCGTTCAATAAGTTCCCGGAAAAACGCTCTCATTTTGTTAGTTTGTAGTATTTTTTATTGACATTTTCACAGTATGTGTAAAATATATTTAGAATTTATGTATAGAAATATTTGTATACAATATTTCATATTTATTAACTTATCCTTGATAACGTGTCGTCATAAAAGGGTACGCGGGGCACTAGTTTGACGTTAAAATTACACAATTTTCAATTTATTCATCATATGTTCACATTTTTTGTATTTGTTTTATTTCAACTGAATAAACAGTCCTGTTACCATGGTAACTATGTGACATCATATTACTGCTGTACAAGATGCAAAGATTCTTGGAATTGATGACATCATACATATTTGCATGACATCACACAACTAATGCATGACATCAGTCATTAGTCAGACACCAAAATGGCTACTGCAGGAGGGGATGCAGATTTGCTCAGAAAATAACTATGCAGATAAGAAGCTCTATCCGTTTCTGTGTCATGGGCCATCTATCAAAAAAAAGAAACTATATTCACTCTATCCACCTGATACGGCAGTATGAGATTTTGCTGTTTTCAACAGATTGAAGGAAGCTCTGAGGGGGATTCGCTTTGGCTCAGTTGATGATCTTAAAGCAGGTGTTAAGAATGCACTAAAGGAGAAGTTACCAGCTGGGCTCTGTGACCAATACAAGCAATGGGTTCAGAGACAGAGGCTATGTATTCAACACAATGGTTCATATTTTGAGCATTTAATGTAGATGACATTTGAGGACTATGTGAACATATAATCTTACAAGCATATAAAGACATCAAAGGGTGTTAAATATATTGTAAAATGTGACTAAAACGCTTAGATTTAATGATCCAAACCGTAATACTAAACAGTGCCCCGCATACCCTTTTGTGACGTCACATGATGTTGGTTAACTTAAAAACTAGTTAGATATTTTCAAATTAATTTCACACAATGATTTGAAAATAAATTGCACACATACTGTGAAAATTTCACTGAAAAATATTATAAACTAATAAAATGAGACCGTTTTTCCGGGAACTTATTGAACGACCTGGTAATACCAATGGTCAAATACAGAAGTGTCTAAAAGCACGAACCATGTCTTGATCATCATATTGAGAGATGTTCAGATGAGAGAAGTGTTGACATACAAAAGTTATTACTTACTTTGTTTTGCCAGAGTAGTTTGGTTCCTGCCTTCACTCTCAATCTCAACAGTGATTACTCCAAAACTTAATTCCATTTGGATACGTAATATCACTAATACAGAACATGCTGCCAAAACAATCCATGCTTTGATTTCGGCTGAGTTTTCTGACATATTATAGTGTTTAATATGTACCAACTGAGTGCAACTCAGTGTAACTCCCTTTTCAGTGGCGTAGCCAGCAAATGGTGACCAGGGGTTCGATTTTCTATGTATCCACAAATCTTCCCCTTCTTCGGTGTACCTCACAAAAAAGCATTTTTTGTATTTGTCATACATACAATGTACACCCCTCCAAAAGTTTGGCAACAATTTGATTTTCTATGTTGAAATAGTTTTTGGTGAATTTTTTACTGAAAAGATATTGAAATCTGGTAGCAAAATCATACATTTAAATTTTACTGCACTTGTTTAATTGTTCAATGGAATCCAAATAAAGGGTTAGCATACATTGAGCCAACTTTTGTTAAGGGAAAATTATAACATATCTCTAAGGAACATGTTTTTGACGAGCTTCCATTGATAAATCGTCATTCCCAATTCATGCTTTAGAGTTCATTCAAAGATATTCAGACACATGCTATTTTCCCACACTTTTAGATGATTTTTGAAAAGAATCCAAATCAAAAGAATTTTATTCATATTTCATTTTGTAAGACCTCATGAACTTACAGTTATTTACTGAAAACTAGTATATTCATAGCAAATATTTTTGAAGAATGTAATACTTATTTAATCATGGCGCACAATAAAAGTCGTAATGGCTGTACGAATACTCGCAATTGGTACTGACGATAAAAGTGACAGATGACAAATATTATTGTATTACATATGAAACGAAACATTCTATCACCGTTCCGCTGTTTTTATCATTAATGACGAGAATCATGAATGTTTTGAGAAATGAAAACATTTTAGATGAACTTGTGAATCATTATAGACTTTGATTTGTTTTTGAGAAATTAACGTTTTATTATTTTATTCAAGAATGCTGCCAAATCTTTTTAAACACACGATTTGAAACTTGTGGTAGGCCAATCCTCTGTCTTTCTGGCAAGTACACTCCCCTCCAAAAGTTTGGCAACCTAAGCTCCCTGCCTCCTTTTTATATTTGAATTTTTATTTACATAACCTGCGGGGAAAATACTTATAATATTGATTAAAATGTAATTTGATTTCACTTCCAATGCCTCCAAATTTTCCCATTTTTTACCTCTTTTGTTGAATTTTTTAATCCGCTGGTGATTATCAGTGGATCAGTTTTTTAGAAAATAAAAAGTGATTATCAGGAAGCAATGCATATTGGTACACCATGTGATTTTTTAATATTTTTTATTATGAACTTTTTCCCTTAACTGTATGGCATTATTTTTGCTTCTTTATTCATTAAATTCAAATATATTCGATATATGAAATATTAATATTCGCTAAATCATTTTCCATTCAGTAAAAACGTTTATATGTTTGTTACAGCAAATTAAGTTTTCAAAATAGCCAATAACTTAATACCATGTGCATTAAATTACATATTTCATTCGCTAAATGATATGTTTTTTTGCGTAAATTGTTAAGGTATTTCTTAAGAGTAACACATTATATGCACACTATTGAATTTCTATTTGAACCCTACCAAAATAAGTTTGTCTATATTTACCGAATGGATTATTTTTCTATGACATAGTTAATGCATTTTACCGAAAGCTAATTTCCTATTTACCGAATGCAATAAAGTAATATTCGATAACTTTCGTTGTTGTTCGATATTTTGTCACGTGACCTCGAGATTTGCAAAATGGCCGCGCAGCTATTCTACATCGTTCAAATATATCACGTGACTGAAAGTCTCGTAAAGTATCGAAAAATAATGAAATTTATCGAATGTGGCATTCGGTATTTACCGAATATAAATAATTTAAATACCGAATGTACAAATAATTAATTGAATTATACGTGCGTTAAGGAAAACAAACAGATTCGCTGCATCACACAAATACATGTACACTGTGTATAAATATCAAATGTGAATGCCAACACAAAGAACAAGTGAAACTATTTAGCGAATATAAATTGTATAGATTATTACATTCGATAAAATAAAAAACATTCGATAGATTTGGTAAAGGTTTGGTAAATTGTTTGTTTTATTTGGTATTCATGGAATATTTAATGTACCGAATAAAGAAGCAGTTTAAACACCATATAACTGTGAGAATGTAATACTCAATTGAAATAATAAATCTAGACTTATTTGATATAATCCTCCTTATAGACTATTACGCCTTTGTTTTCCTCAGCAAAAGATGACTGCATCTGACCTTTTTATTGGACAGAACTTTCCACTGCACGTAATGTGTGTACCTTTTACACTTGTATCTAGTAACACAGACATACTCACCTAATTGCCTCCCTTAATCCATTTATTTGCTAAACATATTATAATTAATGTCATAAACGCGATCCACTAAAGTTTGATATTCTTGAAAATAGAGTAAATACTTAATACACTGAAACAGCAACATTTTAATCTTAAAATGATCTCCGAGATGAAAGTGCATCTGAAAAAGCAAAACTGATTTTTTTCGCAATCGATTTATTTTTCCTTAAAAAGTGATGGATAATAAATACCCATTCGATCAAATACTTGTGTTTATAAATGATACATATGCTTTTAATAATAACTCATTTCAAAATGTTTCTATTATTTAATATTTGCTTTTGAGGACTTGTCAGACCCGGGGACTTAGCAAGATTTTTTTTGTTTGAAATAAAACAAAACGGAGGGGCACAGATTTGAAAGAAAATGTGTTTTCATCAGTATTAAGACAATTTGTTTATTTCACTGTAGATGGAGCAGCTTTTCATTGATATTTTTTCTTTGCATAATGTCATAATGCTCCGGGGTCTTCCCAAAATTAAACAATCCCACCCCGTGCCTGAGGTTGCCAATCTTTTGGAGAGAAGTGTAAATTTACTATTTTTATCTACTAGTCATATAAATTGAATATATGTTATTGGTTATTGCAATGAATTTTCCACAAATATTTTTGGGGGGGGAATCCCGACCGGGGGTTCGTCCGAACCCATCGAACCCCCGGTCCCCACGGCTATGCTTTTGGCATTTGTGCTTATATATTCAGAGTCCTACGTAAGTTTTAAGTTGCCAGTTTGTAAAAGCGGTTTTTGCCTTCGAGTACTTCTGAATTCCCCGCTGCTTTATTTCTCATGAAGCCAATTTTGCAGATTATTCAAAATCATCCGATGTTACCTGCTGAGATTCTGGTCACTGTAGGAGATAATCGTTACTATGCTGCCATTGGAAGCACAAGTTGACACTTAAATGATCAAATGAAAGAAATTATTTGAGTACTTTCTATTTTCCTTTTTGCTAATACATCCTCTCCTGAAAAATAGCAATTAAAGCCTTCCGATGCGATAAACTTACATAAATCTCATACTTGAGTTGGTTTGGGGTAGATATCACCCGGGAATATATATATCATATCTGGGGAGCGAGCAGGAACTATATGTGTCCAGCTCCAGGACAAATGCGGGCAGATACAATATATCCATCTCGCTCCCGAGAATTTTTCAATATAATTGTTCTTTTTTGGTGCAGTGTAATGATGCATTCTTCAGATGAAAAATTGAAAGTAAATCTGAAAAGTCGAGTGAAATTCTGTAACAAGGCGCAGGACGTGAACGAGATCACACCATCAAATAGGCAGACACTATGAACCAGGAAAACTGTTCTCCTATTATGTTTACAAATTTCAAGAACAAGAGAAAAATGTTGGCTGTGGTCATATTAATCAATAGCTCACATCTTGAGCTAAAATATAACGCAATATGACAAAGTGGATTGTTTTCGATGAGAAGATTTATCGAAAAACCTTCAAAATGGCCGCCAGAAAACAAAATGGCCACCCAAAATTTAATAAGTTCTAGAACTTGATATCCCCTATCATGTACAGGAAATCCGATGAGCAGTTTTCCTGAAATGGCAATGACAAGATTTTTCGAAAAACCTTAAAAATGGCCACCAGAAAACAAGATGGCCGCCCAAAAGTTAATCACCTCTAGTACTTGATATCCTCTATCATCTGTGCGAATTTGAAGGAAATCCGATGAGCGGTTTTCCTAAATTGGCGATGACAAGATTTTTTCGAAAAAACTTCAAATGGCCACCAGAAAACAAGATGGCTGCCACAAAGTTAATCAGCTCTAGTACTTGATATCCTCTATCATGTGTGTAAATTTGAAGGAAATCCGATGAGCGGTTTTCCTGAAATGGCGATGACAAGATTTTTCGAAAAACCTTCAAAATGGCCACCAGAAAACAAGATGGCTGCCACAAAGTTAATCAGCTCTAGAACTTGATATCCTCTATCATGTGTGTAAATTTGAAGGAAATCCGATGAGCGGTTTTCCTGAAATGGCGATGACAAGATTTTTCGAAAAACATTCAAAATGGCCGCCAGAAAACAAGATGGCCACCCAAAAGTTAATCAGCAACTTAAAAATGGCTGTCAGAAAACAAGATGGCCGCCCAACCTCTATCATTTGTGTAAATTTGAAGGAAATCCAATGAGCGGTTTTCCTGAAATGGCGATGACAAGATTTTTCGAAAAACATTCAAAATGGCCGCCAGAAAACAAGATGGCCACCCAAAAGTTAATCAGCTCTAGTACTTCATATGCTCTATCATCTCTGCGAATTTGGAGAAAATCTGATTAGCAGTTTTCCTTAAACGGCGATGACAAAAAGCGGGACGATCACGATCACGATCACGACCACGACCACCACCACGATCATGATCACGACCACGATCACGACCACGACCAGTATGACGACTATATCCCACCGATGGTGTGATAAAAACATGGATAATAGACACGAAAATGAATGATAACGAAGGAGCTACCAACCTAACCCTACTATCACACCAAACTAGTTCTCATTACGTTCTCGAAAACGGGCTTAAACTGTGCACGAACGGATTTGACGTACTACGAACCCACTAAGAACCGTTTGGGATCTGTTTACAAACTTCATGAAACTACTAGAACGAGTAGGTCCTCCAGCACTTAGAGCATGCTCAACATTTTCTGGTGATCATCAAACCGTTGCCGAATCGGTTTTAAACTGTGTGCGAACTGAATGAACGTAGCTACAACGTTCTACGGTCTGTTTACGAACTTCATGGACTTTCCCGGACGGGGTATGTGATTTAGAATTTTGAATCGATTCAAAATTCGATGGCGACCATACCGTTCTCCAATCAGGTCATGATGACCTTCTAGACTAAGGGACGGTTTATACTACGTTGCACACCGACTTGGTGCGACCTGAACGAACTGCGAACGTGATGGACGTATTGAAGACTGTTTATGAACGAAGTAGCTAATTATTTTA